GATTTCTCTTCTCAGATTTTGCCATCTGTCTCTTTTCATTTGCTTTACTTCTATTTTCCACACACTCAGGCAAAGGATGGAGGGTATGAAAATGAAAGTTTCTACCCAAACGTAGAGCTAATCTTCCTGGAAATGCCCAACATTCATGTGATCAGGGAGTCCCTGAGGAAGTTGAAGGATGTGGTTTATCCAACAACTGATGAACCCCACTGGCATTCTGCCATAGACCAGACCCACTGGCTGGAGTACATACGGGTAACACACCAAAACACCTCCGGCCAGGGCCGTGTGCTGTATTCTGAATAAAAAATAAAAGATATGAAAGCCTTCCTACAGCAGTTAGCTGCAGTCGATGTGTGTAAAGTGTCAGATGTGTCCCCTGTATGTACAGCTCTTACTAGCAGGAGCAACAAAGATGGCGTACAGGCTGGAGTGTGGGAAGACGTCGGTGGTGGTGCACTGCAGTGATGGCTGGGACAGAACCGCCCAGCTGACCTCCCTGTCCATGCTCATGCTGGACAGCCACTACCGAACACTCAGAGGCTTCCAGGTAACACTCACCTCTACCTTATCGACAGATTTGCTTTCATTCGTGATTTGGACTCAGGTGGTGGAGCAATCTCAGGTTTGGTGTTTTGGTCCCTAGTCTTTCAACACCTTCTGGTCATAGAAGTCCAGGCCTGTAGCAGCGGGAGGAATGGAGGGGGAAGAAAGACCTGTTACAGGTCTCTGAAGTTTGTACCTGCCTGTTAAAAAAGAGTCAAACCGAGTGGTTAAACAGGAGAGAAGATCAAGCTGTTCTGTTTTAAAACTGAAAACCCTGAGAGGCTGGATTAAGTAACTGGGTCTGTTGGTGATCTTCAGAAGCTAAGAGAAAGTTAGATAAGTTCAGGGATGGGTATCAGGCTGACCACAGGGAGCTGGTCAGTCTGTGAGTGTCATAGCCTGGGATCAACCACCTCATGTTAAACACAAACAGAACCAAAGAAAGCAGCGTGGATTTTAGGGAACCAGACCAAACACCTTTTACCTACAAGGAAAAAATAGATTTCATGAGACAGGGCTGGACTCTGACCGTGTTTAAATCCAGTTTCTATTCAGCTGAACAGATGGCAACTGAGGGGATTTATTAATCTGTTTATTCAATGATTTTTATTTGTTTAAATTTGATTTGCTTTATTCTTTTTAAAGCATTGCTCTTTTTAATATTTTATGTAAAGCACTTTTAATTGTCCCATACAAACATTTGCCTTACTACTACGGCTTTAATTTACTTTAGTTTAATCAATGTTCTATTGGTTGTAACTCTTGGTAAGTGCATACAAAAATGCCTGTTATGCATTACTTGAAATTATGACATTCAAAGTTTGACAGTACAGAGTGGAAATAAGATGAGAGACAGAGTTTTTGTCTTGATCCACAATAATCTACTTGAAATATGTGTTTTTTTCTAGGTTCTGGTGGAGAAGGAGTGGATCAGCTTTGGACACAAGTTCTCTGCAGTAAGACCCTGTCTCGTGACGTTAACAAACACTAACCCTAACCCTAACCCTAACCCATGACAGCATCCCCTGTGATTACAGCTCATTCTGATTGAGTTGATGCATTTTTTAGCAGTAGAATTTTTCTACATATTTTTATACCAGAGGCGGTACCGTAGCCATTTATATAATAGTTTCTTAATTCTAGCAAATATACAAAGATGAACCAATTACATGGAAAAAAATGTTTTCTTACATAAAGACAGTGTGATTAAATATATAATTAATTGTATCTCATATTGAATGCTACAGACGTTTTTTTGGGGGGGGGCTGGACTTCCAGATGTGTTGTCAAATATACCTGATAGTATCTGATTCTCTGAAGTGTTTTTTCCTGTCTTTTAGCGTGTGGGTCACGGCGATGAGAACCACGCTAACTCGGAGCGCTCGCCTCTCTTTGTGCAGTTCATCGACTGTGTTTGGCAGATGACCCAGCAGGTCAGAGTCTGTGACCAGAGCTTCACACATCTTCACACATGTCAATTTTATAGCCATTTCTTTGGATCACCTAAGTATAAGAAAAGGTCTACTAAAAACATAAATGTTTTAGCTGAGTAAAAGCATTTGTGCATTGACTCAAAATGATACGTGTCAAAGTAACCGTTCCTCTTTTCTGTGTTTCCTTCTCACTACAGTTCCCAGCAGCCTTTGAGTTCAACGAGCTGTTTCTGATCACCGTACTGGACCACCTGTACAGCTGTCTCTTTGGAACTTTCCTCTGCAACAGCGAGCAGGAGCGGGCAGCCAAGGTGGTCACACGTTTATCTCAGAGGCTGGATGTCAGTTAACAGCCAGGTTTACACTCCATTTTATTCTGAAAGGGCAGAAAGATGAACGCTTTGGACCTATCTAAAGAAACATGGCTGTGCTGTGTCTCCAGATTATTCTACTGCGAGTGATTACAACTGAAGGAGCAGTCAAAAGTACAATTAAAGAACACCTGCAGTGGACATCCACAAGTTGTTCATCCTCATGGACATTTTTCTTCCTCTGGGAATATCGCTCATGTTCTAACCTCACCTCTAATGTCCTATCAGTTTGTTTTCTCACTCGGGTTATTTTCTCCCAATGTTTCCAAAATTCTAAACAAAACACTCAAAACTGCATCAAACAAGTGTATAAGCAGAAGTTAAACCCTTTTTTTTATTTTGCCTCCTTCTTTTTACTCACATTTTCAAAATATGAAACAGCAACATAAGGAATGTCCCTGTTTTGGTCAGAGGATTTAGCTCCATATAACTAATGACCTCTCTAAAATGAAGTTCTTCTTCTGTCCTGTGCAGGAGGTCCAGACCAAGACTGTGTCCCTGTGGTCATACGTTAACAGGTAAGTAGCCAATAGAGAGTACGGTCAGAGAAACTCATCAGGGATGAGGATCAGTGATGGTGGCTGATTCTCTTCTCCTCACCAGCCAAACGGAGGACTTCACCAACCCTTTCTACATGAACTATGAGGACCACGTCCTGTACCCGCTGGCCTCGTCCAGACACCTGGAGCTGTGGACCACCTACTACGCCCGCTGGAGCCCCTGCATGAGACCTCAGGTGAGCTGTGCTTTCTGAAGTGAGCGGTCTGTAGTTGAGATCCCCGGTTAGGGCAGAAGAACGACTATACACTCTGTGTGTGTGTTCCAGGTGCCCGTGCACCAGGCCCTGAAGGAGCTGCTGCTCCTCAGAGCAGAGCTGCAGCGGAAGGTGGAGGAGCTACACAGAGAGACCTCCTCACACTCCCCCTTTCTCTCCTCTGAACATTCCTCCTCCCCCTCCCACGCCACCGGCTCACCGCTGCACGCCGCCATCTGACCAGAGCCCCTCCACTTTAGCTCCCATCTACTTCTACATGCCCTCCACTCTGTGAAAGAATATCTAGTGCCGTAAATGTATTTGAAAAGTGTCGACTTCCTCTCAGAGCTTACGATGACTGTTTCTTACTTGTGAATAATCTTTCTTACCGCATAATGACCGGCTCCAGACTGGCGTTTGATACTTTTCCACGGTTGATGGAAATGATAGCTGATATATTTCCTCCTAAATATGCTGTTAACTTACACCGAATGCTGAAAATGAGCAGAAACTGAGCAGAGACTCTGTTTTGTAGAGGGGATCGCACCTGTTTTCTTCTCACTTCCATCATTTTAATATGCAAGCAGTGAAGGTTGTGCTTAGCTCCTCGTGCACTCTTTTTGCATCTTGGTTTATTTTTGGTGTCATTAATTGCAACAGGTTGATATCCCATTTATGCCTTGTGTTGTTCTTTATGTGTTTAAAAAAAAAAAAGAAATTAATATAAAACTACTTTTGAAACCTGTTCAGAAACAATACATTTTGAGTTTTTTTTCCAGTTGGAACATGTGTTCATAGCCTCCATTTTTTCCTTGTTTCTTCAGAAGTGTGTGTTCACATGAACTGGAACATCTTTCATTACTGCCCCCCCTCACTGGAGTCTTCATTTGCAGTGGGTTTCAGAGAAAGAATGAATGGTGTTTCAGTCAAACCGATCACTTTGTCTTGAGCATGGTCTGGTCCTATTTAACCCACTTGTTGTTGAATTGTTGATTTAACAGTGAAACATAGCACATGCATGGCATGGTACTCAGATTTTAATGACATTTTAAGGCATGAAAGTGCTTCTGGTCTCAGGGCTCCGTTTAATAACTGCTCACGAGGAATAACTGCCGTTACCCAAACTTTTTCAATAAAACAACTATGCCTCCTCTTTACCCCTCTTCATTCCACACATATGATCCCTCTGTACTGATTGTTGGGTTTCTGGAAATAAAATCTATCAAAAGACAAAAACTTTTAAAAAGTATGAGATTATATTGTTCAGTTTTTTCATATATATTACTTTTTGCTGGTCGTAAATGTTGCTCATGACCCCCCTCAGGTCCATTAGTTTCACAGTACTGACCTAAACAGCTCAGTGCTTTGAAAAAAAATCATTTTCCCATTTCATTCCATTGTTACTGGGATTCAAAGCACACTGCAGAGTTTACTACGAGGCATGGAAATTATTTTAGGCTGTTTAATTGTTCATTTTTATTAATTTATTGGGTATTCTAATTTGCATTTGTTTTTATCACCACACTATAATTACCCTCTAGATGCAAATACATTACTTGGCCTTAATTGTTAGGTTCCAGCTTATGGTCAGCATTCTTTTGCTCTTTAGCTCACATTTGAATCTAAAACAAATGCAACAGAAACGATCCCCAGCATGCCAGGTTGTATTGTTTATTAGACTGGCTCATATTAGACACAACGTCCGACACACAAACACAGTTTGCTAACAGAAGGCAGGTCATTGCACTCTGATTACAGTCAAGCATTGGCTTTTAAAAATACAGTTTCAGCTACATAGTACAGTGTGTTGAGAAAAGTGTTCTTCAAAGTGGAACAGAGCACCAGAGCAGGGGTGGATGAGTGTGTGTGGATGTCGGAGACCACCAACGCAGCTCTCAACCGAAACTGTGTGACTGTTTAGCCCAGAATCTTAGCAGGGCAGCACACTGACACTGTCCACCTGACCCGGTCCTACGGACAGAGGACTGACCTGAGGGCAGGCTGGACAGGAGCACATTTTACCTAGGAGAAGCATTTAGAAGCAGAGTGGTTTAGTACCAGTATAAAATAAGCAATGCCTTTGGAAAGAGTTTGCTAAAGACCCATTAAGCATTTTTTCAAAGCGATCAGGCATTTTTTGGCCCACTGGTGTAAAAATCAAACGCACTAGGAACAGAAACTATTCATTCCATCAGCTCAGTATCTAAAAAGCAGGTCAAACACACAGCTAAACTAATCCGTCACAGCAGAAATAGCAAATATGTTGCATTTGATCATTTACAGTAATTGGTGTGTGTTGTTTGCTGAGAGATTAACTATATGTATTTTGCTTTGAAAGTCCACTACAGCGGCTAGCATCTTCTACACATCACTCATATCCTAAACATTCAAAAACCTGTGATCTATCTCCCATGGCACAAATTTGGCAGATCACTCAGAGAACTTGGACCATAACTTCACATTAAAACTATTTAATTTTTAAAGCTTTTTTCACTGAGAGAAATCTCAACTATGTAATGTTTCCTATCGTATTTGAGCAGATTTCTCTCTCTCTGACAGTACAGGTTTGGAAGTAAACGCCTATCAGCTGAAATCAAAAGTCATTTTTCTTTCCTCAATCACTTAGTTAACTCATTTCCATATCATTTATTGTAATTCCAACATTTTTTATGTATTTGGCTGTTTTGTTTGAATAAAAAGGTTGCTGATTCTAGTAGACAGAAACATTTCTGACATACAAATATGAGTAAGGCAACATTTTCCGTTAAATGGGCTGGGTGTGTAGCAGCAGAACTACAGTAACTCTAATTCCCATGCAAGTTTTCTTACAGAGTGAAGCCATAAGTAGGTCAATATATAAAGTTTGTGTCTTTCAGGAGATGCTGATATGAAGTTGTTAATAGATCCACAGACAAATGAACACATTTGACCACAAAAGTGGATTCATTTTTCCATATTAAATCTTTTTGAGATTCAAAAGAACTCATGATGTTAAACAAGTCTGGAGAATATTGCTTCATTTAATTTCTTATTGGATTTTCTCATTTATCAAATTCACGAGTTCCCAAAGATACCAGTAAATGAAATAAAATTACATTTTTAAAATTGATTTCCATCTTTCCCGGTCTCTGAACTTCTACTTTCTGTGGATTTCTATGGGTTTCATCACATCAGACCAGTGAAATGAACAGGTCAGAAAAAAGCATTTACACTATGGTGCATGTTTCCGGTTCATGTTTAATTCAGGGTTTAAAATATATTTTTGTGTAAATATGTCTTGTTGGACACCTGGGCCTGTAGATAAGCGTGGCCTGTGTGTGTTTTTCTTTTTAAATTGGTTAGCATTGGTTGGCTTACATTCATCTGTGCTCAACAGTCTAAAGATTACAGTAGTGTGGTTAAATGGAACATTTATGTCTGAGGCTCACAAATTTAACGGTTAAAACCACAGTGGATTAAAAAAAATCACTGAAAATCAACTGAATTTTATGTAAATGTAAAGAAAATGAGGGCAGTGTGTAGAAGTGGCACCAATGCCTCAAAACGGGTCGTGATATAAAAGAAGGTGGGGTGACCTAAAGGGAAAAGAAGGCATCTTACATTCCTGTATTATATTAGCATTTCCTAGTCTATACTAACACTAATGGTCATTTTAAGCGTTTTAAAGCAAGGATTTACATGTTTGCGTCTACATTTTAAAAAGTCAGAAATTCTCACTGATAGTGAGTTTTGTCATATTTAAGCACTATTTTTTCTTTGGCAAAAATTTCCCTCTGCTGATTAACTGGAAAGTATCAGTTTATGACCAAAACAATTCAAACAACATTGAAAAGATGGAAACGTGTCAGTGTTGGAGTTCATTGAAAAGATGTTTCTCATTTCTGCAATGCACCCTCAAATAAATAAAATAAATAAATACATAAATAATGAGATTCCCATGGTGTCCAGCCGGGTGGTTTGCTGGTGACCGGTGAGTGGCTGCTACACAGCTTTAGCTTCAGCAGGATGCTCGGCTTTGGGCTCCAGGAGGGTCTGCTGGACTGCAGAGACAAAGGGACCCGGGTCACTTCTATGAGACTTAGGACATGCATATACACCCAACCCCACATATACGAAAAAAACAGGTCAATACTTCAGAAAGTCAGACATCAAAATGAAACCACAACTGATCATAACGTACCCCAAACAACAGAGTAAATTTAGTTAACCTCCTGAGACCCTGTGTCCTCATAAGAGGACGTTGCATTTTTGCCTCTCTTTACCATGATACTTCTTTTTTTCTTTCAGCTTTGACCTCTTGACCTCATAGCAGATGCTATCAGACACTGTTTGAAATCTAAAGTAAAATGGTTTTATACATTTCCATCCAATCATGTTCTTATTGTGTAATAGAAAAACTGTAAATGAGTCAATGGGACTGTCAGAACAAAATTGTAAAAACATTTAATTAAATATGTATCTCATATATCTTTAAAAAAAAAGCTAAAATGCATGCCAAATAAAAGCTCGGGTCTCAGGAGGTTAAAAACGTCGAGCATTCAAAACTCGATAGCTTAACGTCTCATTTTAATTCTGCAAACCAGTTTCTCACAGACATCCCCGTCAGGAAACCATAAGGGAACGGATCAAAGTGAACAGGTGTGCATCATTTGAGGTTGTTTTTGTCTCTCTGAAAACTGAATTGCTCTAACCCCTGTGACATTTCACCCGGTGGCTAATTAGGAACCCTCTGCGTGGAAATGCTAATGAAGTTTTTTCCATGAGTACCTACTCAGCCCTCCTCACCATGACTCGTTTTAGGCGCTTTTCCTTTACAAATGAGCTCCTAACAGAAGGGGAACCGGCTCATGATGTCATTTGTATGCGACAAAAGCAGAGAAAACAATGAAGAACATTGAGCTTGGCTAATAGGAATGTACAACATTTATGATCCAATGATAATGCTATGTTGTTGTTGCTTCATTCTTAAATTAAACGGGTTCTCCTGAAGAAGCGACCCGACTCCTCCCACTTGGAGCCCCGCCTGACTGTGTCCTGAAAATGCTTCTGTTTGGGGTGCTAAAAGCTAGTGGAGCCACGTTAACTAGGTAGAGGTGAAAAAAAAGCCCAGCGTGGCCCCTCCATGTTCAGCCCTTTGACTTATCAATCACAGTGTAATTTAAAATTCTTCTGACATGATTCAATACTGAGATATATAGGAATTTTGAATTTGCAAACCACTTTGACAGTTATCTTACTTTTCAGCTAATAGGACAGGGAACCTGACACAATGTGAGAAAGGCCTGGAGCTCAGCCTGTTTGTGTCAAAGCTTTGGGCTCGGTTTAGATTTAGTCTGGACGGCGGTGTAAATAAAAAAAGAGCTGGATCTCTGCAGTGGGGAAGCCTACCTTGTGGTTCTGTAGCCACCATGGCCTCCGGGTTCTCAGAGCTCACCATGTCCACGTTCAGGCTCTCTGCCAAACACAAAAACACAAAACATTCTGCTTTTACAAACCTAGCTCAAGCAGCACTAAGTTCCCCCTACCTTGTCAGTCCATTATTAATGTGAGAACATGGGAAACTATTGGATCAGGACTCTTTCTGCAAATCAGAACTCCTAAACTAGTTGCTATCTACTAAATATGATACAGATACAGATAACTAGCCTGGAAATGCAGCGTTAGAAAGTGGTCCACAATAAAGGGACTGTACTCCTGAAGGAAGGTTTAACCCTTCAGTGCTTTGAATATGGTTCAGCACATCACCTGTGGAGGAGAGACACCTGATGAGACAGATGTGTAACTAATACTGATTTTAAAACGGTGTTTTACACATCACCACATCTGGAATGACTGTCTTTTCTCCCTCATACGACGAACAGTTTGTCTCCTGAATGTAAGAATGTGTGACAAATAGACACGGTGTGTGTGTGTGTGTGTGTGTGTGTGTGTGTGTGTGTGTGTGTGTCCTTACGCTGTATGCTGAAGCACAGCTTCTTCTTCTGGTAGGAGATGTAGCTGGTGACGGCCCCCACCAGGGCCATGACCACCGCGCTAGCAATCCCCGCGATGGTGCCCACCTCCTCTGTGGTCCCTGCAAACACACACCGTACACACACACACTAGTAAACACTACGTCCAGCCCTACGCGGTCACTGAGGGGCTGGACAGAGCCGGACAACCCACCGCTGTAGTCAGTGTTCTGGTTCATCTCATCACTGTCACTGGGCTGGTGCCCTGGAGAAACAAGGTTAGTTTTTTGGGGGGTTTTTTTGTACACTTTAGAAGTACTTCCAGTAGAATGATGTGTAAATGTGGAGCTCACCTTTGTTGCGGTCGGGTTTGTAGGTGTTGTCGTTACTCACATCAAACAGGTCGCTGTCAGAAAATCCCTCTGGAAAACAACAAGTATTTTCAGATTAAGATCTCCCCAGTTAGGAATATATAGCAACACTACTGGATGAAAAAATACAAAAATAAGAACCTAATCTATCATACACACACATGCATATATAGGTGTGCGTGTGTGTGTGTGAGTAGAAATGTATACAGTGGGGGGAAATAAGTATTTGACCCCTTGCTGATTTTGCAGGTTTGCCCA